CTTCGTGGATCCGAAGGTCAGATGACCTCTGGCGCAGAGGTTTGTAGAATGACCGCAGCACCGACTCTCCAGTCCAGAGAGGTTTTCCGGGTCACAACAGATGGATGGAACCGTTTGTGTCTAGAAGGACTCTTGGGGAGTCGGAACTATATAAGCTTTGTTCTGCAGGAACCGTTTGCTGTGTCAGCGGTAGGCAGCTTTGAGCGGGGTTTTGGCGGCTTGCCAAAAATGCTCAGGGCTAAAGAGGTGTCGCTCCGGACGGCCGTTCCGTAGCTCTTTCTCTAGAACTGAATGCTGAATGATGGAAAGCTGGAATGCGACAGATTAAAGGCAACACACGCAGACTCCTGTCTCCATGTAGACCAGATACTGAAGGGGTCAAACTGTACATGAAAACTGACCTTTTCTGGATATTACAGTAGTCAAAGTTCTGAGCCAAGGTTGGTGTCCAGATGACAGATGGGCGAGAGAATCCGTGACGGGCAAGGCAGGCAGAATCCGTGGACAGAAAATTTGGTCAAAAAATCAGCAAAGGGCTTGGCTGAAAAATATCGCTGGAGTCTCGACTGGCACAAGGCTGTCGATCAGCTGGCAGGGAGACAGAGCCTGAGCTTTGCTTAAAAAGAGGAGCACACAGGTGCAGCAGGGAGACAATCAGGCAGGGCTCAGGTGAACTGTGTGAAGCTGATTAGCAACAGGACTGGCAGAAAAGAAAAAAACCAAACATGACAGGCATGGCAGAACAACGTGGAATCATTTCAGTACCTTCCCCTCAAGGAGCGGCACCTCACGGGCCACCCAGCATGGAAGGATGAGCCCAATGGAAGCCTCGGATGAGAGACTTATCCAAGATGTGACGGGCAGGGACCCAAGAGTGTTCTTAAGGGCCGTAACCCTCCCAGTCCACAAGGTAGTGTAACCCACGGCCCCAGCGACGGGACCGGAGGAGCTGCCGAACATCAAAGACAGGGCCCCCAGCAACCACCCAGGCGGTAGGAGGGGGTCTGGAGGAGGGCACAACATGAGAGACAGACACAGGTTTCACACGGGATACATGGAAGGTAGGGCAGACCCAGAGCGTTCCAGGAAGATGGGAGGTGGACTGCCACCAGGTTGAGAACGTTTGAGATGGGGAATGGGTCAGCAAAGCGAGGGGCCAGTTTGCAGCACTCGACCCGTAATGGAAGATCCTTGGTAGACAGCCAAACCTTCTGTCCCACCTCGTAGGCATGTGCGGGCATCCGTCTCCGGTTAGCCACACGGGAATACACAGCAGAAGTCTTAAGCAGAGCACGGTGGTCTTGTCTCCATACCTGCTGACATCTCAATGCTGCTGCATGAGCAGAGGGAACCTTGGCAGCTCTGTCCTGGAGAGAGAAAACAGGTGGTTGAAACCCATACCCCCTTTAGTAGGGTGATAGCCCAGTGGCACTGAAGGGAAGGCTGTTCAGAGCTTGTTCAATCCAGGGGAGATTCTGAGACCACTTAGTAGGGTCATGTTCACACAGTATGCATAGTTTTGTCTCAACCTCTTGATTAAGGTGCTCGGTCTGTCCATCAGACTGTGGATGAAACCCAGAAGAGAGACACATGAGTTCCAAGCAACCCGCAGAACTCCCTCCAGAATTATTGAGAGACAAACTGAGGGCCTCGGTCAGAGACGATGTCAACGAGAATGCCGCTCAGTCTGAACACTTCTCGGGCTAAGATCTCTTCGAGCTCCTTGGAAGATGGCAACTTTATGAGGGGACCCAGGTGTACCATCTTGGAGAACCTGTCAACAATGGTGAGTAGTACAGTAAACTTGTTAGAAGGGGACAAACCTGTGATAAAATCCATGGAGATGTGGGGCCAGGGGCGCTGAGGTATAAGAAGAGGGTGCAGGTAACCAGCTGGGGGTCGGACTGAAGGCTTGGCCTGACAGCATACGGGACAAGCTAGGATGAATCCTTTAATATCCTGCAGCATGGTCTTCCACCAAAAATGTTCTCTGACCATGACATGGTCTTACTAACTCCTGGGTGACAATAGAGATGAGAACAATGGCACAAGGAGAGTACCTCAGAGACCAGATGGTCTGGGACAAAAAGGCGGTCCTTGGGACAACCCTCAGGTGCTGGGTGATGTTGATGCGGCTCCCGTATCATGTTCTCTAGTTTGAGTCGTGTGACCGACAATCATACCGACTGGGGAAGAATGTGGTCATCCCAAATCAATTATATATTCAGTCACACGTCTCTTGCCTCGTTTTAAAGTTAACAAACCATGAGCCGCCTCCCTCTCTGGTAAAACTGGGTCAAAGACTCTGATGAGTTCCTGCCTGAAGGCATTTTGACGCTAACACAGGGGTGAGTCTCTCTGCCGTTCTGCTGTTCCCCATAGCTTGGCCTTGCCAGACATTAAGGAGATCATAAAAGCAACTCTTGCTCGTTCAGTGGGGAATGAGGAAGGTTGTAATTCAAAATGACAAAAACATAGTCAAAAAATCAGCAAAGGGCTTGATTGAAAAATATCGCTGGAGTCTCAACTGGCACAAGGCTGTCAATCAGCTGGCAGGGAGACAGAGCCTGAGCTTTGCTTAAAAAGAGGAGGTGCAGCAGGGAGACAATCAGGCAGGGCTCAGGTGAACTGTGTGAAGCTGATTAGCAACAGGACTGGCAGAAAAAAAAAACAAGCATGACAGGCATGGCAGAACAACGTAGAATCATTACAAAATGGACCTGATCTATTTGTGTTTTCCCCTCATTTACAGTGATGCAGATAACGGCGCAGTGAGCATGGCTCTGGTGTTAATCACGTTTAATGTTCCTGTTTGCCACAATCTTCACAGGAAGACAAAACAGTTACATGGCAGGGTTTGCATTGACCGGATATTTCCCGGATTTGACCGTTTATTTTGATGGACAAAGAATAGAAAGAATTGCCCCGACGCGTGCAGATGCGCTGACATTTTAATCATTATGCACATCGCGGAGGTAGCTAAATCAGTCAAGAAAAAATTCCCATCAGAACATCTGAGCTCAACGCAGCTTGCTGTCAGCATGCACGTAAGGTGGACAGCGAGCTGAAGATGCTGAGATTGGGCACTTGGAGTGCATGGCTTTAGTGTTAATCAAGTTTAATTGTTTCAGGTGACAATCTTTGCATTTAGAATTGACATACAGATAAAAACGAAGGCTGTAAAATAAGATACATTTTAATTAAATATTCATTCATTAGTTTACAAGCACAGAGAGCATCAGATGGATGAAAGAGCTGCATGCGGCTCCAGAGCTTCAGGATGCTGAACTCTCATTTAGGGGAAGGACACAGAAAGCTGTCTCAGAGATTTCAGCTGTCTGTTTCCACATTTAGGAACATATTGAAGAAATGGAAGACCACAGGCACCGTTCAAGTTAAGGCTCCAAGTGGCAGACCCAGAAAAATCTCAAATACACAGAAGCACAGAATAGTGAGAACAGTCAGAATCTACCCACAGACCCGCACCAAAGACCCTACAACATCATCACTGCAGATGGAGCCACGGTGCATCATTCAACTATTTGATGCACTTTACACAAGGAGATGCTGTATGTGAGAGTGATGCAGAGGAAGCCTTTTCTCCACCCACAGCACAAACAGGTCTGCTTGAGGTTTGCTAAAGCACATCTGGACAAGCCAGCTTCATTCTGGAGTAATGTGCTGTGGACTGATGAAATTAAAACTGAGTTATTTGGGCTTAACAAGGAGCGTTACGCATGGAGGAAAAAGAATACAGCATTCCAAGAAAAACACTTGCTACCTACAGTAAAACATGGTGGTGGCTCCATCATGCTGTGGGGCTGTGTGGTCAGTGCAGGGACTGGGAATCTTGTTAAAGTTGAGGGACACATGGATACCACTCAATATCAGCAGATTCTGGAGAATCCAGAATCAGTCCAGGAATCGGTGACAAGCTGAAGCTGCACCGGGGCTGGATCTTTCAATGAGACAACGACCCTAAGATCCTCATCTGTGCCCCAGACAAGCTGGTTCCCAAAGTCAGAGACTCTCTTGGTCAGCTTGCTTCCCACACCAAACCTTCTGTCAGGAATCTTGGCGTGACCTTTGACCCAGCTCTCACCCTGGATTCTCATGTCAGTTCTCTTGTTGGCTCTTCCTTCTTCCATCTCAGGAACATTGCTAAGCTGAGTCCCATTCTGTCCCGCTCTGAACTTGAGACAGTTCTCCACACCTTCATCTCCTCACGCTTAGACTACTGTAACTCTCTTTTCACATGTCTGAGCAGAACCTCCCTGAACCGTCTACAGGTGGAAGAGCGAACAAGAGAACTGACATGAGAATCCAGGGTGAGAGCTGGGTCAAAGGTTACGCCAAGATTCCTGACGGAAGGTTTGGTGTGAGAAGCAAGCTGACCAAGAGAGTCTCTGACTTTGGGAACCAGCTTGTCTGGGGCACAGATGAGGATCTCAGTCTTATCTTCATTCAGCTGAAGAAAGCTCCCAGCCATCCAGGTTTTGATAGAGCAGGAGGTGGGGACGCAGAAACGGACAAGTTAAAGAAAATGCAATGGTGATCTGAAATATAAACGTCCTCAGGACAAACCCTGTCAGCATTTAGACTCAGGGTAAAAACAAGGTCTAGTGTGTGCCCCCTAGTGTGTGTGGGGCCAGAAACATGCTGGATAAAGCTGAAGGAGTCCATGAGGCTGGAGAAATTCATACCTGTTTGCTTAGTTAAACCCAGGTGGCAGCTTTTTTTCTTGGCTGAGCAGTGTACATTCGGGTTGAGATTCTTTATTCAACAAAGCTACTTTTGATTTTCAGACAAACAACAATTATAAATAATTTACCAACCTGCAACATAATTTAATGAGGTCATTCAAACATTCTCCTTGGATGGTTTTTGAGTGCAGACACAACCTCAAAATGTTTACTCCACAAACAGATTATCATCCAGTGCACCACAGTGCCTCCACTCAGCTTTGGGTCTAAGCAGGCAAACACCAAGATGCCCCTCACCTGAGAGCACGGTGAATATGGCGGCGAAGGCGTTGAGCTTTAGGCCATCAATGACATTGCCAAAGTGACACACTTCTAAGGACATGAGGAGGCCTCCGGTAGCCAGCAGGAGGATGTAGAGGCACTCAGCCACGATGCAAAGCCACAGCACTCCTGTAGAGACACTCGGTTATAACAAAGAGCAAACAATGTGGGGGAAAGCATTCATATCGGGGGCATGGGTCGTGCACGGGAGGATACACCACAGAAAGGTGAGGAAGTGAGGAGCAGAGGGAGGGAAAATATGTTTAAGCAAAGGTGAAGGAAGGAGACAGAGATAGGAAGGAGGGAGGAATGATGAGGTGACAGAGACAGACTAGTGACCCCCATCACCCATATTATTAACCTTCACAGTCACAGCAAGGAGACAGCACTAGACGTACTAGATGCTGCACCTCTTCAGCACGTGTCTGGCAGCTGGAAACAAATACGAGCAACACAAAAGACCCATTGTGAGCTGAAGAGGAGCCGCATGCAACACCCAAGAGCAGAAAGTTTTCATGTGTGATTAATTAATCACAAGTTATGCAACAGAAGCTTCATGTCTGTTCTAAAAATATAACACTGCATCGTTCATCTCAAACTGGTCCTTAAAAAAGCAATGAAATAAATCTTAAAGCAACTTTAAAGTAGGTAAAGATTAAGATGATAATGGCGTCCTTTACATGCCACGTGTTTCATTTTAGCATTATTTATTGATTTTATTGTGTTTCTAGGACAATAAGCCAGAACATGACAAGCCAGCGGCCGCTTCCCAGGTTCCTGATTCATCTGGATGCAGATTGAGGAGCATCTCCTACTGTAGCTGCAGCATGGAGGGGACTGGGCTACCTGTGAGTGATTCGGGGTGGAGGAACACCTGCTGCTCATTTAGAAGAAAACGTGTTCATCAGTCTCCAGAAGTCTCTGGGAAATGTGCTATATTTGTTTTTAAAGACTTGTGAAAGATTTTTAGTTTCATATTACAACAAAATAAGCTGGGAGCACTTTTTCCTGCCATGTTTGCAGCCCTTCACCACATTTAAACTGAGAATGCGGTGAGAAATATTGAGAATTTTAAAAGCTTTCTACAGCAGCTCCATGTAGACAAACCTAACCATAGCCAGGATTATAGGCATGCCGTTACACCCCAGAATAAACGAATAAATAATAATAATATTAATACATGCCAAGTACATTTTAAATGCGCACAAGTCACCACAGTGGATTAAAATCAAACAGAAGAGGGTTGCACTCCTGACCTGTCGGGGGCAGTGATGCGCCTGGGGTGCTGCTAGTCTGCTCTAAATGCCATCAATAGAAAAAGGTGGAGAATTTAAGCAGTAAGTTTAACGGCGCTTCATTCCTGGAGTCATGCGGATGGCAGAAAACAAAACCCTTCTCAAGAGGAGTCAAGGCGCTGTGCAGCCCGAGACCTGAATGTGCAGCAGAAGTGTACACGGCATTGGTAAAAAATCTGTGTGATTTTAATTAGATTCATGATTTTAAACTAATCAAGCTTCAGCACAACAATCCCAATAGGCATTCATATTTACAAACATGACATCACACCACCAAAACATCAGCTACTACTTTAATATCGCAAAGGTAAAACTGAAGCTAAGAATTGTTTCTAAATCTATTTATTAACAAATAAACATGCATGCAGAGACTCACCAGCATTACTTTACCAAGGTGGGCTGCCTGACTGATTTCCTCACAAAAACCCTGAACTCTGACACATTCACACGTCAGCAATGGAATGTGCCATCAGCAACGTTCACGGGGGTTTTAACAAAAGAGGAGTGGTGCTTTCATGTCAACATAGACTCATTATGGTAAATCCTATTCTGCTGTTGCAGGAAGCTGGAGAATTAGTTTTCACGTGTCACACTCACGAGAGACAGACGGCCACAGCTGCAGAAGCACTGTGACAAGAAAACAAAAAACCCAGAAAAAGGACCAAATGTCCACCCCTCCAACACTTCACCACCAGGGGAAACCCTGGATGTGTACAGATCCTGGGTCAGGCAGGAGTGCTACAAAAAAACACAGCTTTGATGAGCACGTGATCACATTGTTTGAAATAGAGATGTTGACTGTAAAAGGGGTGAGGTGTGTTGGAAGAATCTTCTGAATAAAGTTCTCTGCAACCTTAATGTTCACGTATAACCTGAAGTGGACCTCTTCACCTCAGCTCACCACAGAGTAGCACCAACACTGACGGGAGAGGCAGCGGTGGGCTCTGAGCTGAGCATCATACAGAGAAAACCAGCATCAGATCCACACATCAACAAATCATCCAGACATTTGTTTATTTATGGCGAAATCTCTTGATAGTCTGTCCTTGTTTTCAGCATCGCTGACCTCACAGAGCCCTGTGTTAAAGGGGTCCTTCACAGTGGCACCAGTTATGAACTGGAGTCCTAAAACTACTTCACCTCAAAAAAATTACTGCTGTTCAGGCAAATGTAGTGTCATAAAATGCTTCATGACCTTTATTTACAGTGAGATGTGAAAGTGTGGGCAGCCTTGTTAATCTTCATGATTTTCCTGTATAAATTGTTGGTTGTTAGGATAAATAGTTTTGCTTAAATTGATCATATAGGAGTAGGGTTGTCACGGTGTGAAAATTTTATCTCACGGGGATGGAGAAGACATTAAACAGTTTATTTTGCTGCTGGAGTAGATTAAGATGCTTCATACTCAGATCGTTGTCGCTGGTTTCATCATCACCCAACAGCCCATTGCGTTTAGTGAAGTGAAGCAAAATTTTAGAGCACGCTCGCTTCCTTCTAGTTGGAATTTCGGCGTTCCGAGGGGGAAGCGAAGGCACCATTAGCTGAACGGAAGCTAACATATCAAGCTAACGTTATTTTAAACATTTTATTTCCCTCCGGAAGCGATTAAGATGATGATGTCTCACTTAGACCGTTGTTGCTGGTTTCATCATCACCCAGTTACCCATCCCACTTAGTGAAGTGGACCCAAACGTCAGAACGCTTCCTCTCTGCCACGCTGCTCTGTTTACAGCTCGCCCGCAGGACTGACGATGTTACGCTTTTGCGCCGGCGCGCGGCACGGGTACCTAAAAAGGCAGTGCTTCAAATTACGTGAATCAGTACTCAGTCGATACCACAGAATTTGGTCAGTGCCTTAAAAAGTACCAAGTTTGGAACCCATCCCTACACTTAGCCCCATTAATGGGACTTTACGGACTTTTGAATGTTTATGCTCGTGATTGCCCCCTCAGGCCAAAAGCGTAACGGCAGCTTCAATAGTAGGCTCGTGCACGAGGCGCGCATGCTGTACGTGCACACTCCTTAATGAAAATAACAGCTGAGACAGTCCCGTGTGTGTGTGTGTGTGTGTGTGTGTGTGTGTGTGTGTGTGTGTGTGTGTGTGTGTGTGTGTGTGTGTGTGTGTGTGTGTGTGTGTGTGTGTGTGTGCGTGCGTGCGTGTGTAGCCCGGAGGACAGAGGACAGGAGAATATGCAGCTTATTAATTAAATAATTTGGTTCTGTACCTTTCTCTTCAGCACAGCCGACAAAGGGTTATGATGGGTCAGTCCTCCTGCATGCTCAGATCATTCCCTTCCCTTGCTTGAAAAATTGTTCCAAAATGAAAGTTGAACCCACATCTTTTTTATCTGTGAATTCAATGCCGTTCGGCAAGTCTCAAATAAAAATTTGGGCATCTTACTGTAAAAACATATACCATTAATGTAAAAAAGAAACTCTAAATAACAAAATGTATTGACACCCAGAATCGAACCCAGGTCTTCTGCACGAGAGTCAGACATCTTACAAGGTGAGCTAAAGCGCCAGTGACATCATTTGTATCTGTAACATTTATATCCTTGATCACAGCTGAAACAACGTTCAAAGAACGGTTTGGAGTGAAAATGGCTATTTTGTTGCTAATTTGCAGGAAATATCTAGAAGAAAGTTCTACAGAAAGTAGCTAAGGGTCCTCAGAAATGTAGCTAGCTTTGTCACTAGGCGTTAGGAACAGCGACAAAGTGGCTCTGCCTCTCTCTCTGCTGCTAAAGCTACGGGTAGCAAATGCTACGGGCTATGCCTGAGCGTGAACGCGCATGAAGCAGCCTGCTCGGCCCGAGCATCTCTCTTTTTCTGTGATTTTACAGAAAAACAGACAATCACAGTAAAAATGCCAGGGCTCATTCTACAGGACCAGGCCATTGCAGGAGAATGTGTGAAGAAGACATTTATTATTTCTATACATGTTTTGGCTGTCACACTTCCACAATGCCCCTTTAAATACTCATTCATATAATTGGATTCACTTTTGTATGGAGGTCAAGGGTCACTGAGCTTTCCAAACAATTTTTGAGTTCCAATAATTAGTTCTAAAGGTTTTAGAATCAGTGAAATGACAACAGTGACCAAATGTATACCTGCCTAATTCAGTTTAAACAATTATTGCACACTTTCTGTAAATCCTATAAAACTTGTTTCACTACTCAAACATCACTGTGTGTGTCTCCTATACGATATATTTAACTGAAATTATTTATCCTCACAACCAACGATGTATACAGGAAAAGATTAACAAGGCAGCCCAAACGTTCCATCACTGTATCACTAAGTGGATATTCACAGAGGACTCTAGAGGAAATGCAAGTGAAGGTAAAAGTCGGAAGCTTTCATGGTTGCAGTTCCATGATACTTGTTTTCTTTTTCAATAATATAAACTGAGCTGGGTTCCTCTGGTGCAGAAGGTCGCGCAAAGCTACTTTCTCAGCTAAATGTGAGGAGATCCGTCAGCACCTTGGTGAGCTCTACGCCTCACATCTCCAGATGACTCCTCAGGTTGAAGGAAGGACTTGCTGGACTCAGCAATCCTTCCTCATGTCACCAAGCATGCATTCACGGTTTCTACGGTAACCATCCATGCAAAAAAGGATGTTCCATCCTCACTGCTTATTTCATGGCTCAAAGAACAAAGATCCAGCATGCTGGTTCTGTCTGGCAACATGCCAGCTGGACCGCTGAGCCAGATGTGGGCCTCGGTTCTAAACAAAAGTCACAAACAGCTCAAGTGAGAGAGTGCTGGGTTGGCCTGTGACTGGCCTCAGTGTGGGTAGCTAGTCTGGTCAAAACTAATCTGTTTCTCCAAACCAACGAGCTAGGTTGGATATTTATTGCTCATGGGCTGTGTGTAGAGACCCTCTTGGAATGATCTGAACTGAGAGAGCCGATAACTGGAGCGTGTTGCTTTCCAGGCTTTCATGCTTGTAGTACGAAAACCTGCTGACCTCGGAGGTCTAAACCACAGAGGATGAGCGTAAGAAACGTGTTGGAAAACATTTCATCATCTTACCTCTTTCATGAGGTGGTGCCACATAAATGAAGCTCCTGCATTTCTCACCTGAAACAGAATGGACATGAGACATTTACAGACACTCAGCAACAGCCCCCACCCCAACAGAGGCTGCTCCCGTGATCCATCACACTCCCTGAACACGAGCCCCGCAAACTCTGGCTCTCTAAGATGTATGAAGAAAATGAGTTAAATGAAATCATGATTTCATTAAATCTGTAACCAGATATTCTGTCTGTCACTGTCCTCCAGTTCTTAATATTATCCTGAATCCCAGAGCAAAGCAAACGGAAAACATCGTGGTCATCTGAGGACAAACTTGCATCCAGCTGCTCTAGAATGAGAAATGTGACGGAGACTTTGACCCACACACATTTGTTACCTTTTTTTGATGGAGCCAACCAAACCCGAGACAGAAACCCTTGCCTGTCTGTGACTGCTGTCTTCACATTGCATTATTTTAAGTGGTTTCTGAGCTTAATCCTAACATTTAAAATGCGCACTAATTGTAAAAAGGAATGAACCTTTAAAGGAAACATGAAGAGACCTTTCTAAGCTCTCAAAGTCCCTTTGATGATGAGATGGTTCAACCATGCATCTTTAATCAGAGTTCCTGTCTGGGTTCTCCTGCTCACGGATCAGTCAGGATTCTTACATCATCTCCACGGTCCACCTCAAGCCCCAGGCCTTAACATCCCAGCCTTTTCAGCAGTGGCGATGGTTCCCACAAACACAAAAGATACAAATCTGCTCAAAGCAAATCGTTTGAGCTTCTCAAGATCAGCTTTACGCTACAACCAATTTCAAAATCTGGAAACGTCACATTCATATTGAAATGTAGCTGGGCTCCAATAAGGAATCTGAAAAAGGATCCATTGTTGCACAAGACACCCTGCTTTTATTTTGGTAAGCCACTTCCACTATGAGTAAGCCTGAATTTGCATATTAGTAAAATATTTAGTTTAAAACGGCATCATTTGGACGTAGATTTCCAAACTGAGCTGTAAATGCAGGATTCTATTAAATCTGTTCCGGGCTAGTTGTTGTATTCTACATTTGATCCTAAGTGTTAAGCTGAGCTGAATGTATGAATGTCAACATGCGTCATTTAACTGCACCACTGCTTTTATTTGCTGTTGCTTTACTGTTGTGCAGGTTATCTAAATAATCAGCTTAATGCTCCACATTTATGGCCAACATTCAGATGTTATTCAGTCTATCTGTGTTTTCATGATATCATTTATTTAGCTACTAAAGTGTGTTAAATGTACCTTTGTTTTAAACAGGATTCTGAATATGAAGTATAAAACGACCACCTTTAATTTCATTTGTCTTGATATGATTTAACCTCACATATTTAGCTTTAACGCTGAATGTTAAGATTCATGAGGGAGGTCAGCCCTACAAGAAGAAGCGGTTCAGAAGGTGAATGCATGATGAATGAATGAGTGTTTACTTTAAACTGGACTGAATGCACATCTGATTGAATTCGGGTGTGTTTTTGTTGCACACAGCAGTCGCCCTTGTCACTAGGTGATGATCTGATCTGACTTTTAAAGGGGATTAATCTCTAAATCCAGTCAGTGTTGAACCAAATAAAGTTGTTGTTTTTATTTTTTTATTTTAATAAAACCAGAGGCTTTCTGGAGCAGCGCGCGTCGCTGCCCGCGCGCCACGACTCAGCCCGGTTTGCCCTCGAGTCAGAGCCAACGGGACTTACCGGTCATGTTGATGTTCTGCTCGCAGGAGAACCAGATCCCGGTGTGGAACTTCCTCATCACGTACTTATCTTCCCCGGTCTCCCAGATGTACTGCACCAGGCGCGTGTCGTTAATGTTGGAACTGTTGAACATGATGCAGAACGACTGCCTCGTGGTGACCACACCGGTGCAGAACGGCTTCACCACTTTGCGCGTGCCCTCGCACCAGTAGCTGGTGGTGAGCGCCGACACCGCCAGAAACAAGGCCAGGAAGTTCAAGGTGAGAGCCAGGGAGGCTCTCCTCCGCCGGTCTATCCCCATCACAGCCGACCGAAAGAGTGACGACGCCGGACTTAATCCCCTCCGGGTGAATCACCGGATTCAGGCGACTCGGTCTCCACAGATCCTCATGATCCGGTTATTCCCGTTAATAAATCCGTTAATTACCGTCTGGCTATCTCAGCACGACCCGCACATCTGCTGGTCCGGAGCCGCTGGCTCTCCTATTGTAGCTCACACCCTTTCACCACACACACACACACACACACACACACACACACACACACACACACACACACACACACACCAACTACAGCTCTACCATTATAGATCATTTGTAATAATATTTCTCTTCCACCAATATAGACGAGTGGTTTCCAGCACAGCTGGGAGGTAAACAAAGGGCTGCAGTGGTTTTACATTAAGAAGCAAAGATAATGAGTTGTATTCATTTGTATTTATTTGCTTTGGGTTGTGGAGGTTATCAGTTAAATGTGTTTGAGCTGTATTGGTTCCTGAGTGAAATGAGGCAGACATCCCCAAGGATAAACGGTAAATGTCCCCTTGAGGAGAGTAAATGTGCACCAATTTCAAAGTTCAACAAAAATACATGAACTCGTAAAACAGAACGGAGATTTTTGGATTATCTGTGTTTTTGTCAGATGGTTTAGATTAGTGGACATGTCAGTATTAGAGAAAGAAAACTGGAGCATATAAATGAAGTTTCCAAATGATGATTTCCTTCATTAGGGTATCAAACGGGTACGCTTTATGCCCGCTTCACAGGCAAGACACTAATGCTGACTATTTTATTGGCCATTCCTGAGTGGTGTATTAAGAGTGTTCAGTTTTACTCTGAGGCACGCTGGGATCGCTACGATCATAAATCAGGGCTATCAAACATGTTTGCTGGCTACAAGGACTAACAAGCTTGCTGCCTGAATGTGATGTTTAACCAATCATAAAGAGAGGTACCAGAAGCACGTTACACACTTCCACAACATGCTTGTTTACTCCAAAGTGGCATTCGACCTGCAGAGGTTTGGTGACATTTCAATTCAGTTTATTTATTTAGAGGTACATCACCACAAGAGTCGTCTTAAGGCACTTCACAAAATAAAACTATCCTATTGAACAAACTTATCAGTGAGTTCAGTTCATTACGCCAATTAGTTTCTTATACAAGGACTCCAGCAGGTTGCATCAAGTCACTGACTAGTGTCAGAGTCTTTACAGCAATCCTCATACTAAGCAAGCATATAGTGACAGTGGAGAGAAAAACTCCCTTTTAACAGGAAGAAACCTCCGGAGGATCCTGGATCTGACGAGCCATCTGCCACGACCAGTTGGGTCACACGGTGTTACAGAGTAGAGTAACATGAATTTGCAGATCCATGTAACTTTCCCCAACCAGTCCGTAAAAAGAAGGGAAAGACAGTTAAGAAATAGAAGATTAAGAAGTTAAATTTTTACTTTGAGTAAATTAATTCATAAAAGGAAAATTCTGTGTTTGCTGTTTGTTTTTGCCTCAGATAAAAATGTATTTTCTGATCTGAACTGTTTACAGATAGAAGCAGGGAACTCATCATCATCATCACAGTGTTCCTCCAGTATTCTACAAAAGCCAAGATTAAATGGTAAATGGTGCCTTATAAAGTCCTACAACTCCCCAAGATGCTTTACAACTCACCAATCATTCATCCATTCACACACATAATCAAGATGAGGGACAAATCATGTTGACTATACTGACACCTCCAAGAAAAGAGGAGTTTATTTATTGTGTGTTGAAATATTGAGGTTTTCTCCAGATAACACATCACTTTCTGAAGAAGTGTGATTTTAAAATAATTTCTAGTTATCGTCACAAAACAGAGAATACAATAACACAATAGATTACTCTGTTTTCTTAACAAAACATACCTCATGATGACATAATCATCACTTTAAAATGTTATTGCCATAAACTTGCTATATCCTCAAGATCGTGTCTTGGAAACAAATTGTTTAGCATAACCAAATGAAACAATGGCTGCAGGCTCCACACGAAACATGCAGAGGAGAGTTTAGCGGTCCCAACTTTTCAATGTGTAAAGCATCTACCGGCTGAAGCTGCTAGAAGTAATGTGATTACCTAACCGGCATAATGTGCCATGTGTAAGTGATTCTAATGGAAGCTGTAAGAGAAAGAAATGACATTACAGAAAGAACAAAAAGTGAGTTAAATAACATCCTAAACACACACACACACACACACACACACACACACACACACACACACACACACACACACACATGCACACACACACACACACACACACACACACACACACATGCATACACACACACATGCACGCACACACACATGCACGCACAGAGACACTCACTTTGAGATAGATACTTTTATTTTGAAGACAAATTACAATCAGTGCACCAAACAAGGACATCCTGGTATCACCCCGCTTCTCCTCCAGCTTCACTGGCTGCCAGTCAACTTCAGGGTTCATTTCAAGATCCTGGTTCTGGTCTATAGGGCCTTACATGGACAAGCACCATCTTACATTGGTGATCTTCTCAGTCCCTACATCCCCAGCAGGTCCCTGAGGTCCAGTGATCAAAGCCTACTGGTTGTGCAGCACCAGGCTGAAGACCAAAGGTGACAGATCATTTGCTGCTGTGGCCCCCAGACTCTGGACCTCTCTCCCCCTGAGCCTGAGATCAGTGGACTCAGTGATCTCCTTTAAAAAGCAGCTGAAGACTCACTTGTTCAGGCTGGTTTTGGTGTGATTATCATTATCACCCTCTTCGTGTTCTGCTCTTACTCCGCCATTTCCGAAATCCGCTGATGACCTCTTTTCTATTAATTTTCTCTCTCCCTTCCCTTACATTTTAAAAATCATGATTTAATTTTTTTTATTTTAAACATATTCTTAATCATTTTTTATACTTTCATTCATTTTTTGTTTTTGTGAAGCACCTCATGATTTTTATCCGGGGGGTCGCTTTAGAAAACATTGTTTTCTTTCTTTCATGTTCTCTCCCGACACAACCCTTCCTTTACAGAGGTGTTAATGTAGCCTCTTTGTTTGAGGTGTCCTCTTATGTGGTGTCATCACTTTCTTACCTGTATCCTAATTAAATCTTTAAGCTAAAAACCAATCAGTCCTCCTGGAACAGGTTCTCATTATTTTATGGTTGCATTCATTTTGGAGAGTTGTTCTTGAAAGCTAAAAAGGAATGGGGTCAGGTCATCTTGTCTCGGGTGATGGAGGACTCTGTTCCAGCCTCCTGAGAGAAAACTCAGGAAATCTAATCTGACTTTTTGATGTTGGCCTTAAAACATTTTTGCTTACCTCCATCAGACTTTTATCGAGCCATTTGAGGCCTCCTGTGTGTGTGTGTGTGTGTGTGTGTGTGTGTTAACACTTGCCTGCCTGGCCAGCAGCATTTATATAAACTCCAAACGTGGCACAAACAGATCATTCAGTCTAACAATTAAAATATTCAAGGCATGAAAATGAGCTACAATTTACATTTTAATAAACAATTTGAGTTTTCCAGGGATTACAGTATATTGTTTAAAAAGTTAAGTTAAACAAAAAGTAAAGTTTGTTCTATTCATGAAGATTTCCCTGCCTAAACTATTTTCAGGAGCTTTCCACCTGCTCTCTGTACCTCCCTACACAGAGAGAAGACTAGCTGCTGACAGCAAGAGTTTATCACTTCACAGGCAGACAGATAGCACATTTTTGTAATTGCTACCAGTGGAAATGCTCTGCTGGTATCAGGCCGGGCTGGACAGCTTTCAATCAGTCACAACACACAGGGAGAGGATGCTGCCTGTGGAGGTATTTCAGACTTTGCTGAATCACGGTGACATATTTCATATTTATCCCTCTGTTTTCTCTTCCTTCCAGATCTAGTTCAACTCAACTCAAGCTTCAATTCTAAAGTGCCTTTCAGGCACAGGGGTCACCCCAAAGCGCTGTAATGACAGGACCAGGATTAAAACAATAATAAAAGCAAATAATAAAAAGAAGAAAAAAAACCAGCATACAAAGTCCACTAATACAAGAAAATACAAGCAGGTTAAAAGCCACGGCTAAAGGCCAGATCAAATAAATAAAAGTATTTTGCGCGACCTTAAAAACTGTCACCGATGGTGAAGCACGTATGTTAAAGGGTTACTCATTCCACAGTTTCGGGCCTGCCACAGAAAAAGCCCCATCTCCTCTTGTCTTTAAACGAGTCCTAGGAACTGTGAATAGGAGATTATTGTCTGTGCGGAGTGCCCGTGCCGTTGCACATGGATATATCTGTGTCTGTCAAGGACGTAATTTTCACTTTAGAAGTGGGGGACACACGGGGGGGGGGGGGGGGGGGGTATCTTTACAATATGTTCTAAGGGGAAACAGGCTTCAACACAAACGGTTGCTTTCCGCTTGGTCCTAGAGCTCAACCAGTGTCAATTTAATATAGCGTGATATTGTTTTTGGATGGTAAAAAGTGCAGGGGTCAAAACTTGACTTTAGAAAAAGTGGGGGGGACATGTCCCCCCTGTCCCCCCCCCCAAAATTACGTCCATGGTGTCTGTAAACATGCAAGAGCCAGTCCATTTAACGACTTAAAAACCAGTAAAAGGACCAATCCGGAAATCCGAGACCCAGGAGACATGGTCAAATTTATTTTTCCCATCAAAACTTTTGCAGCCGCATTTTGCCCTATTTGCAGCTTTGCCAAAGTTGCCTGGGGTTTCATTTATCAAACATTACATCCACCTTGACTCCTTGACTTCTAACAAGGAGCACCTATTGATAACCTTCACACAAGTTTGATAGATCTGTTTCTTCCCACAAGAAGGGAAGGAGCCCAACACTGGAGTGTTCGGGTTCAGCAGTGATCCACTCTCCTCCTGCCATCCCTCACCAGCTGCTTTAACCTTCAGAGACGGAAAAATGTACTCACTGTCATCATCCCATTGGTCAGATAGAGTACAAGTCTCAACGAAGGCTCTGTGACACAGACAAGGACCTCCGTACCTCCTCCACCACTCTCTCCATCACTCTGGTGGACCTCACATCCACCCGCTCACCAAGGGTTCCAGCTGGGATCTTCAGTAAGTGACCAAACTTTACAATCCCAGCATCGGTGAACTTCCCTTTCAACGCAGACGAAGTTACGATGCCAGCTCAAGAGAAGAAGTCATTGTCAATCAAGGGTTCTTGTAGCAACCATGTCCCTGGTCCCATGTCAGATGTTCTGGAAACTGTCAGCAGCTTAAAAGAGTCCAGCACTGACGAGTAGAACGGACTAATCCTTGTCAGATCCAACACCTTCCAATTCAACAGGAACAGGTGTTTGTTCAGCCCAAGCCCACCAACCTTCTGCAGCAGGAGATGCGCCAGGGGCAGCCAGCAGAGTCTGTCACCATAAAGAAGCTTCTTAGCTGTCTGTAACCTGAAGGCTGCAGTTCTAGACACCACGTCTATAAGTCCTTGTCCTCCCTCTGACACGGGTAGACAAAGAGCCGAAACTCTGATCCAGTGGTGACCGGACCAGAAGAATTTCACCAACAGCTTCTGAACATCTTCCAGCAGACCCAGTGGTGGAACCAGTACAATCAGTCTGCGCCACAGAAACGAGGCAACCAGGTTGTTTGCTATCTGAACCCTGCCCCTGTAGGATAGCTGGAGGAGAAGCCTTTTCCATTTAGACAACCTCGCCTCCACCTTCTCCAGCATATTCTCCCAGTTCTGTTTCTGAAACCTTTCACTACCCAAGTACAGGCCTAGTGATTTAATACCTCCCGTTCCCCACCTCAGCCCTTCGGGCAGAAGCAGAACTTTGCCGAGGTCCCACCCCCCCACTACACATGCCTCACTCTTGTCCCAGTTAACCTTAGCTGAGGATGCATCCTCAAATAAAAGTAAACTAGATCTGAGTTCTTGTACATCCTGCTGATCAAGGATAAAAACATTCACATCATCTGCATAAGCAGACACAACTAAGGGAGGACTGGAGACAGGTAAAGGTAGGTGTAGACCTTTCAGCCTGTTCCTCAGCCGACACAGCGCGGTTCAATAGCTAAAATATACAGTTGTCCTGAGATGGGACAACCCTGTCTGATTCCTCTTAAAACTGGTGTAGGTTGACTCAGGCCCCTGGCTACCTTCACCATACAGCTGACATTCCTATACAGCATCTTAATCCCTTCCGGAAAGGACTCCCCAAAACCAATGGCCTGTAGCGTAGAGAACAGGAACTCATGATCAACCCTATCAAACACCTTTTCCTGATCAATAGACCCTTTTACTGTTTGTAAACAATATGACGTCAGCGAGAATGCGCGCGCAGCTTGGCAACAGAGAATGGTGATGTGTCAGGCTTTATCAAGCTACGCTGCGGGGTTATCACGGCAAATCTTGAATGTTATATTATTAAACTCACTTTAACGAATGGCAACAGAGAACACCGGATCCCCGTGGCATTACGGAATGGGTGGAAGATGTAGGTGCGTGGCCAGTTATCCAGTGGCCCGATATATATACGTTTTTAGTGGAGAGGCCCAGTAAGTACACACGTGAGAAGCTACGGGCATACAAATCGTTAGATGCATACAACTATGTTGTCTGTGGCCACGTACAGGAAGTAAAATATCACGGCATAGACTCTGAGTTTTGCATCTTGAAGGCAGAAGTCCTTCCTAGCCAAAGACAAGGACACAAGACTGCTATGTACGAGGCTTGGGTCATAGTAAACAAACCAGAGAACTACGTCTTCACAGCCAACTGTACCTGCATGGCAGGGTGAGTATAGCATAGGTTTCTTTTTTTAGCGTGCTCAGAGTACAATCGTGTTAATTTTAGAGAAATACAGTTTATACTAATATGCAGTGGGAAAATACAGATGAATTAGAATGAAATGTTAATTTGAAGCATGAAATAAAGCGTATAAATTTGTTTAATTCTGTCATTTTGATGTTCCAGACTTGGGTCATGCTGCAGCCACGCAGCAGCAATTTTATTCAAAGTTGAGCTTTGTGTTAGGATGGGAAAAACGGAAAAGGCTGCCGTTACATCTCAGGCATGTGCATGGAAAGACCTGAGCAGGAAAAATGTAGAACCAGCTCCACTGAAGAAGAAGTTTCCACAAACCGAAGAAGTTTTGCAGACAGCTCCCAGCTGCTTCCGAAACTGTTAGGAGGAGCAGTGTCACACTAATCCCTTCGGAATTCTGTAAAATTTCAGTCCACTGCTTGAAGAGAAGTGATTCTGGCATCCATACACGCAACAACCCGACATTTTTATTTGCTCAGAACTTCAAAACAAAGGGTTTAAAACGCTGTTTTAGTATCGAGTGTGAATGAGGAAGCCTTCACTCTCGATGCCAGGCTGCGCGCGCAACTTTTGATGACGTAGGTAGTAAAAGGGTCTATAGAGATGATACCTGCATTTAAATCATAAATTTTACAAACATCAAACACATCTCTCATTAAAAATAAATTGTCCATTAGTGACTTTCCTGGTATACAGAAGGACTGATCGTCTGGGATTAGACCTCCGATGAATCCCTGAAGTCTGTTTGATAGGAACTTAGAAAAAATCTTATAGTCTGAACACAACAAGGGGACTGGTCTCCAGGTTTTTAGTTGGGTTAAGTCCCCTTTTTTTGGCAGCAGGGACAGAATGCCCCGCCTACATGATGCAGGAAGTGCTCCTGTCTGAAGTGAGTCTTTAAAAACATCCATCAGGTCCGGTCCCATACTGTTCCAGAAGAATTTATAGAAGTCAGCAGGTAAGCCGTCCATCCCCAGAGATTTCACTGCAGCCATCTGGGAGACTGCCGTTGTAAGCTCCTCCATGGTTATGTCTGCATTTAAGATTTCCGGGTCTGCTGTGGTCAAGGAAGGGAGCCCCTGCAACAGCTCTCTGGCACAGTTCACATCACATGGGGCGGACTTAAATAGGCTGGTATAGAATTCTACAGCATGTTTCCTCATCTCCACTGGGTGTGTGGATAACTGTCCATCTGGCAGACGAAGGCCAACCATTTGTTTTTTCTGGTTTGAAGTCTTTTCCAGGTTAAAAAAGAAGGATGTTGGAGCATCCATGTCCTGTATTGTGGTGAGACGAGCCCGGATCAAGGCCCCTTTGGCCCTCTCTTGCAGGAAACCCAAGCTGCTGTCTTTTTTGGTCTAAGGTGTGCTGTGGTTGAGTAGTAGAGAGAGCCTCTAGCGCCCTGATGTCCTTCTCTAGATCTGCCATAGTCTTTCTTACTTGGTTTGTAGACCCCTGCGTGTAATGTTGACAGAAAACTCCAATTTGTGCCTTCCCTTGTTCCCACCATTCACTGATGGTCTTAAAATCATTCTTTTTGGACCGCCAAGCCTCCCAGAACAGCTTAAAATTGTAGCAAAAGGTAAAATCGTGTAATAACTTTACATTAAAGTGCCAGTAGGATTTTGTTGTCCCAACAAAATGAAGCATCAGTTCAGTTATAACCAAATGATGGTCTGTGAAAATAGCTGGGACTATTTGACAGTCCATCACTCGAGAGAGAAAGGTACCAGAGACATAAAATCTGTCTAATCTAGCAGCACTAACTCTTCCACCTGACCGTTTGACCCATGTGTATTCTCTACTTGATGGATTCTTTAATCTCCACACATCCAGTAAGTCTGTTTTTGTTAGGATTTTTGACAAAAGAGTAGAAGACTGAAGATGTGGTTCCTCCCCAGATCTATCTTAAGTAAAATCAGCACAACAGTTCCAGTCTCCGCCCAAAATGGTACATTCATCAGCAGTAATGCTACTCAACTCCTCCCCAAGTATGTTAAACATCTCTCCCCTCTCTGATCCCTTATTGGGTGCATAAACACTAATGAGATTTATCCTAAAGCCTTCAAGTGGGGCTTTGACCCATAGGACCCTGCCCTGCACTACAGTCGTTACTGATATAATATTTATCATCAATTTTGAGGAAATTAAAATTGCTACACCTGCACTTGTGTTTGTGCCATGATTTAGGAAGCATTGACCTCTCCACCCCAGCCTCCCATCTAATTCCTTTTTAGCATCACTGTGTTTCTTGTAGGAAAATAACATCCAACTTTTTACCTCTAAAGACTTCCTTAATCAAGGCTCTTTTCTGTGGATCCCTCCCCCATTTATGTTCAAGGATGCAACTCTCATGCCTTTCATACACAAGGAAGATGAGAGAATAGCCCAGATCACCAGCAGAAAAAGAGGCACCCAGTGATTCCTATTCATAAGAGTCCTATTTTATAATCTTCCCTTTCTTGCCAACTTTAGTCCACCCTAAACTTTTTTTGAAGCTAAAAACATGTTTCTTTAAACGGTAACGTTTATTTTCATCTAAACGATCCAGGCCCACCTCTTTCTGCAGTGTGGCGGCCAACCTCAAAAACTTTACAGCATCAGGAAAATATTGCTGTAAGTCAACTGATTTTCAATACATTTCATCCAGAAACTCAGTAATCTCCTCCAGAGAGTACAAGCTCTCCTCCAGCAACTCACTGTCTGCTACCGAAACATTGTCTGAGTCTGAATCAAACTCATAAACCACCCCCCTCCGCTTCGCTCTTTGGTTCCACCTGCCTCTGCTCAGGAATGTCATGATCTGAGGTAATGAATTAACCCAAGACATGCAGAATCAACACACTGGAGCAGGATGTGAAAAAATAAAGATTTATTTGATAACTAGAACTTAGGGTGCACTGGAAATCCAGTGAATGGGTAAACGGGAGCAGCGTCTGAGGGAAGGGAAACGGAGGTGAGTCCTTGATTGAAACTGTAGTGTGGTAGAGGATGAGTTTGGTAGGAGGACTTACAGATGTAGCGTGGTGGAGGATCTCCAGGGAGGGGTGAGCTGGGAGAGTGAATGAGTATTCCGGGGTGATGAAGATCGGCAAGGTTTTACAACCGGAGGGAAGGAGAGAGAGAGCCTGTAGTGCTGGAAGCAGTTAGTGCCGTGAGGAGGACGGGAACCGGGAGTGAAGTCCAGACGTAGTATGGTCGAGTAGTAAATCCAAAAGGTCTCAGCGAGGAGGTGGTGTATGGAAAGATGACTGAGCCTGAGACAAAACGAGAACAAAATCTGAGCAAAAGATCGCTAGCAAAAAACACGTTTCTAAAGTTCAAGGCTAAGGTTTCAAAGTTCAAAGTCTAAGATCCGACAGTTCAAAGTCAAGGTTTCAAAATCGAGTTAATACTGTGGCTGGGACTCTACCAGTAGGCGTAATCATCCGGCGGCTTAGCAGTGTCCTCCGTCCTCCTTATGAAGGCCACCCACTGATCAGCTGATTGATTGCAGCTGCTGCTCTCTCTCCTGAAAACAGAACTCACAAGCCAGGTGATGTCATGGTGTGTGTGGAGTGCTCACCTCCCAGCTCACAACAGTACCCCCCCCTCAACGGACGCCTCCAGGCGTCCTAGCCGCAGCAGCCTCATAATCCCGAATGAGGGAAGGATCCAGGATGGCAGAGCGTGGCACCCAGGAGCGTTCCTCGGGACCGTAGCCCTCCCAGTCCACAAGGTACTGCATACCCCGACCGCGGGGACGGGAGTCCAGGATCCTGCGAACAGTGTAGATCAAGTCCCCCTGGTGCAGGCGAGCCGGAGGAGGAGGTGCAGGCACGGGACAGAGAGGACTAGTGACCACAGGCTTGACCAGGGAGACGTGGAACACCGGGTGCACACGTAGGGTCTGAGGGAGGTCCAGGCGGACCGTAGTGGGGGACGGAACAGCCAAAACTTTAAAGGGACCAATGAACCGGGGAGATAACTTACGGGAAGAGGCCTTCAGTGGAATGTCCCTGGACGATAACCACACAGACTGCCCTGGGACGTAGACTGGGGCCGGACGCCGTCGGCGATCAGCTATCTGCTTGTTCCTCTGTGCAGTGCGATCCAGCGCCGCCCTGGTGGTGGTCCAGGCACGACGGGCACAACGGAGGAATTGGGGAACGGAGGAGCCAGGCGTAGATTGTGCGGGGAAAAGCGAGGGTTGAAAACCAAGGGAAGCCTCAAACGGGGACTGACCTGTAGCTGTAGAGATGTGGCTGTTATGGGCATACTCCACCCAGGGAAGATGGGTGCTCCAGGACGACGGGTGAATGGAGCAGACACAGCGCAGCATGGCCCCCAGCTCCTGGTTCATCCGTTCGCATTGGCCGTTGGTTTGGGGGTGGTGTCCGGAGGTAAGTGCCACTTTCGCCCCCAAGGCCTCTGCGAACTCCCTCCATACTTGGGACACGAACTGCGGACCCCGATCCGACAGGATCTCCTCCGGGATGCCATGGAGACGGAACACATGCTTAACCAGGAGCTGCGCTGTGCCTGTGGATGAAGGGAGAGATTTAAGGGGCACCAGGTGGCAAGCCTTTGAAAACCGGTCGACTATGGTAAGAATGGAGGTGAAACCGTGGGAGATGGGGAGACCACAGACGAAGTCCAGGGCGATGTGCGACCAAGGCCGTGAGGGAGTAGGCAGAGGCTGGAGTAGACCGGCTGGGAGGCGATGGTCCCCCTTGTGTTGGGAACAGGTGTGACAACCAGAAACATAGTCCTTGGTATCTTTAAAAATGGACGGCCACCAAAATGTACGTTTAATAAGGGCCACAGTGCGTGCCACCCCCGGATGTAAGGAGAACCGACCAGCATGAGCCCAGTGAATGACCTTGCCTCTAACAGATTGGGGAACAAACAGTTTACCCGGGGGGCCGTTGTCTGGACCAGGGTCAGTCTTAAGGGCCTCCAGTACCTGCTCCCGGATCTCCCAGGTGACGCTCCCTACCACACAATTGGAGGGAAGGATGGTCGATGGTGGGTTATCCCGGTCTGGAGCATATTGTCTAGAGAGTGCGTCGGGTTTAGTATTCTTTGTACCGGGTCTGTAAGAGATCAGGAAATTAAAACAGTTCAAAGTCAAGGTTTCAAAATCGAGTTAATACTGTGGCTGGGACTCTACCAGTAGGCGTAATCATCCGGCGGCTTAGCAGTGTCCTCCGTCCTCCTTATGAAGGCCACCCACTGATCAGCTGATTGATTGCAGCTGCTGCTCTCTCTCCTGAAAACAGAACTCACAAGCCAGGTGATGTCATGGTGTGTGTGGAGTGCTCACCTCCCAGCTCACAACAAGGAACCTGTGCATCCTGACCGTCTAGCTGTCCTCTGTTAGTTACAGGCTGTATCCCTGCCTTTTGGCCTGTTTCTACCTGATCCTCTAGTCCTTCCTCTGGTAAATGCACCTCTAAAGAGGCAGATGCGTCACCAGTCGGCTGTAGGCCTCCATGTTCCGCCTGTTCTGGCTGCTGCTCCACTGGGTCAGAGCCAGTACCGGCTTTGGTTCCGTCAGGAACTGAAAAACTGCCGGCCATTGTTTCTGTCCCTGTTGCGCCCTCACTCTCTCCCTGCGGGCCACCAGTCACGGTGTCACTCACCGTGACACCGGTCCTGATCCCCGCCAGAAGAGAGGGGACTGCAGGTTCTGCCTCGGTCTCTGCTCCTGGTCCTGCTGCATTTTGTCGGTGGGGACAAGCAACATGCTTGTGACCCACATCTCCACACTCAAAGCATTTCATCACACCAGAACTAGCATACACAGTGTAATACCCTTCCTCGTGCTTCACTCTGAATGACA